GGAAGGAAGGAAGGAAGGAAGGAAGGAAGGAAGGAAGGAAGGAAGGAAGGAAGGAAGGAAGGAAGGAAGGAATTAGGCTTTCTAATCAACACCTGGGGGTGGAGTTATGGTGATATAATGTATTATACTCATTTAAAAAAATTAATATATGCAGGTGTTGCATAAATTAACCCCCTCCTAAAATAATAAAAGTCCTCTCTTGTCACCTGATACTGGCTCATTAGTAGAAATGCAAACATGTGGATGGAATAAGTCTAGATCATTGATTGGCAGACCTGACAACAGTGGAGACCTTTTTGTGCCTAACACAGAAAAACCAAAAAATAGACTTGTGGCATCTTAAACATAGGCAGGGAATGATTAGTCCAAACATCTGCAGGGCACCAGACTGGAGACGTTCAGTGTAAACTTTACTGTCACCATCAACAGCTTTCTTCAGTGTCAACTTTTATCACTGACACAAGTTGAAAAATCTGTAAAATATTTCTTTCTGTATACCTCTTCCAATGTAATTAATACCAAAAATAGATGAATTTTATGCCATTTTATCCAATCCTCTTTTCAGACCTACTCTTGTCCTCTGGTAGAACCATGTGGTTTTTTGAAAGAGAGCTTGATTTTTTCCAGAGTATTCACTATGGAGTGTTTGCAATATATCACTCTAGTCTGCATTGAAATGAAAGAGATAATCTGGCTTGAGAGAAAAGTATTGCCAATAGAAGTGAGATAGAAAGTTATGGAACATGTTCATTTGTTAATTAGTGAGCTGTGGGAAGGACTATTTAGGTCCTTAATTTTTCTTCATTCTAGTGAGTGACAAAAGCCCATCTCTCTGACATGAGAGAAAGGGAGTAATTGGGTGTGTTCCTTTCCACTAATACAGAAGGACAGAACAAAATAGAGGTACTTAAAACCATTAAAGGCATCTCTGAGGAGGAAAATGTCCCAGAATTCTTGGGTTTTAAAATTAATCAGGATAAATGGCCTCTTCCCGCAGTTCTCACCAACTGTGAGAAAAGAGAACATTACTAGTTTAAGTTTATAGGTTGCTAGTTCAGAATACACCATTCTTCTTTGTTCTCTTGGAATGTGCCCAGAACATTCTTGAAACCCTCATTTGCACTGTTAAAACAAATAGCACCCCTGCTGTTTATCTGAGAGATGTGGGGTGCATTTCCTTAAACTACTCTCCTTATAACAACTTGGGTTTTTAAGCTGAACCCTTCCTTTCCCAGGGGTGGGTGGGTGGGTGGGTAACTGTGGCTGAGAATGTGATTTATTCAGAAGGCTACCTACCACTTGTCTGCCTTAACCAATCCAAGCAATCAAGAAGTTTGTTTTCATCTTTAATGAGCTTTAGGGCTTGGTCACCATACAGTTAAAAACAAAGCATCACCAATATGTCAGTCTGTCCTTGGGGCCACTAGCCTTTGCTGTTTTCTTGGACAAGACCATGGAGCAGGACCAGAAGGGAAGAAGGGAAAGCACCTTTTCACTTATTCTGAGTTTGCTTACTAGCCAGAACAAAATTCTCTTCCCCTCTTCTTTCCCCCACCTATTCTTCAACTTTTGGTGAACTTGGAACAATCCTATGTCTCAGAAACTGCTGAAAAATATTATGCACAAAACAAAGGGAGCTCTGCAAAGAGGAGCTATAAAACATCCTCCTTCTCTTCAGGCAGGCACCCTCCATGAGTGGGGACTATAGTGCCCAGAATTCCTAGCCAGCATAGAAGTTATAGCTGCAGCACACTGGAGCGTTCTGGACTGGAAAGCTGCAGTAAAGCTTGATTATACTGTAGAAGGGTATGCCTGGTTGTATAGTAGTATTGACTAATGGATAGCAAAAAGTCAGCCCCTCTCCAATTCTCGAAACCTCCTTTTTAGGGAACCTGCGATGATGTCAAGGGACAGAGATTAATTAATTAATTAATTAGCTTTATTCACATGGAGAAATCAGTTGCATAACAGAACAGTATGAGATAAATATTTTTAGGCAAAAATGCTGGGGGTTGGGGGATATCCAGACTTGACAATGTGTCTATTAAATGCATACTTGGAATTTTAATAACCCCATTAAAATCCGTAATACCTTTATTTAGACCAATCATGATCAGCATAAAAAGGATTGGAAGCTTTTGAGTTCTTTAAAACCTTTAATCAGGCAAACTGTTACAAAACAGAGGGGATGGGGAATGAGAGTACACAGGTTAAATCAGAACTTTCTACCAGAAGTTAGTTTGAATTGAATGGCCCTGACTTCTGAGTATAAGAGCTCACAAAGCTGTATCTTGAATCAGGTCAAAGGGAGGCCACTCTCCCCTGTCCTATTATAATCAAGGCCAAGCAGGTGAGACCCCAACAGAAGGTGTGAGCAGAAAGCACCTGAGATGGAAATGACTCTGCTTAGGAATTTGCAGGCAGATCCAAGGCCACATTGGGCTTTGCTTCACTAAGCTTAATGAGCAACAGCTGAGATGTGGGGTATCAGCGGTCAGCTAATGGAACCAAATAGTATCCGTAGAGTCTACAGCTTGGTGCCAAAAGCAATGCTGCAACAAATAGACTGGAAAAATATGCTATTTAAGCAAGGTTCTGGCCTTGTCAGATTCCCACCTTTCCCAAAGTGGCACCCTTCAGATGTATTGGATTACAATTCCTAATCACCGTGGCCATGTGGATTGAGAATTATGGGAGTTGTGTTCCAGTACTTAAGAAAGGCTCTACTCTGGTCATTAAATGATGGTTTAGAGTAGCTCTTTACTTGCACTCTGTGCATGGTGAACCTCATTTGTGCAAGTGATTGCTGAAGATTTCTTTTTTCTATTTATGTTGGCTCATTTGTAGATATATCTTCCTGCAAATTACTTTTCTTAGCAGCTGGTTTTGCAAGTAGATTAGTGCTTTCTTCTCTCATCCCATTATAACTTGAATCTTTTTATTCATTCATTTAAAAATATTTGTATCCTACTTTCCTCTATAGCATTCTAGATGGATCACAACAGTTACATACTTATGAACAGCATCTCTGAAGCAAGAGAGAGAAAGAGAAATAGCAGGGAAACATAGCAAAGACATTTAATTTTTTTTTTAAAAAAGCAATATTATATGCAAAAAGAAATAACCACCAGTTCCTGCAAGTTTGTTAAGGAGAAACAGAACTCCCTTGAAAAGGAGTTCCAAAGGTTATCAGTGAAAAAATCCTACAGTTTGGTAGATTCCCTGAGTTCCCACTTGTTTATTATCTGAATATCATTGTCATTTTAAAGGTGTGACAAATTATTTTAAAACATGTTTAGGTCTTAAGAAGTGTTGTGGAGAAATAAATCTGGCCTTTCCTTCTAATTATAACTGATTGTAATAAACTTGTAAGGATTTACTGAAGATCTTAGTTATCTATTAGCAAAATAATTCTTGTGTCAATCTGTAATCCCTATTATTTACTCTGTGGGTTGATAGAACATCGACTCTGCTATATACTTAGCTGCTTCCCTTATCCACTAAACAACCCACAAAACCAGATTTAAATTTCCGGAGTCTATAATTTAGAAGCTGGTATAAAACATTTGTTCTCTTAGTCTGATTCATAGCAGAAATAAACCACTACAAACTGGTCCTTATCATTTTTAAAAGTTACTTTTTGGGCATTATTTACTGCACTCTTCTATGTCTTTCTATTTTAAATTTCTTCTATTTTAAACCTTAATTTGTAGACATGAAATTCTAATATTGAAGTCCCAATTTCATATTTCTGATAAAGCTGAATTACAGCTTTATAATTTTAGTAGATAAATTTTGCAATCTGGACTATGATTGGAACTCTCCAAATCTGTATATTGCGGTGTTATTGTTTTAATTAATTAATCCCCCATGTCAAAGTAAGAACTTCAAAAAAACATTTATGTCACAGAATCCTGATTGAATGAGGAAAGTTATTATTTTTTCAATATACATGCCCTAAATAACTGACTTTCCAGTAACTGTTGAATATCCATAGTGCCTACTGACTTGAGGTTACAACTTTAATAATTTTATAATGTAGATTTGTAAAGATAATTGTGCAAGATTGAGATACAATAAAATGTGGGTGTATTTTTCTGAATCCTTATTTATATTCAAATAAAAAAACAAGGATAATTTCTCAGTTATATACTATTACTTCAAAGGACACCTCAATGAAATTGAGTGTGCAAATAAACCTGTATAGAACTGGGTGGGGAATTATATTGTAAAAAGAGTTATGCTCAAAATGCCAGTTTGCTCTCTAATTCTCCCTAAGGTTCTGAGCAGACAAAGCTGCCATTCTGACCATCAGCTCCATATTTGACCAGGCTCTTAAGATGGCTTTTCACATTGCCTTTCTGGCAGGAAAATTGATCCGTGCCATATTGCAAACTTGCCTGTGATTTTTGTTACTGTCTCGTATGTCCCTTTTATAGCACTCAGCTGCCAAATGTATTTATCTCTCTTGTCACTCTAATCACAC